GTGTCCCCAGGGACACACGGAGTGCCCGGCCCTGGGGACTCCCACAGCCCTAACGCACCCCGGGTGATGGCACATTGTCCCCCTGCCACCCCCAAACAAGCCCAGACATGCTACATCCCATCCTCAAGCCACGACATGCCAAAACCGCTTAGGGACACGCAACGGGGTCACAGCACAGCCCCCCCAAACACAGCGGGGTCACACCCCAAAACTCAAACACAATGGGGTCACAGCACAGACCCCAAACACAGCAGGGTCAGACCCCAAAACTCAAACACAGCAGGATCCCAGCACAGCCCCCAAACACAGCGAGGTCACACCCCAAAACCCAAACACAGCGGGGTCGCACCCCATAACCCAGACACAGCAAGGTCCCAGCGCGGCCCCTCTCGGGGTGCCGGCTCTCCCCATCACTCACCCCGAGCCCGGCCCGGCCCGGCCCGGCCCCGCCGCCCCCGGCCCGCTCCGCTCGGGGCCCGGTGCCGGCTCCTCCCCCGTGCAGGCCCCGCCCGTTCCGGCGGCCCCGCGTTCCCCCGGGCCCGGTAGTTTGGCGGGGCCGCCATGAGCGCGGCCCGGCCCCGGCCCGCGGCCTGCGCGGCGCTGAGGCGGCTGCGATCGGCCCGGGGCGGCGGGGGTACGGGAATGGGAATGGGGTACGGGAATGGGAATGGGGTACGGGAATGGGAATGGGGTACGGGAATGGGAATGGGGTACGGGAAAGGGAATGGGGTACGGGAATGGGGTACGGGAATGGGAATGGGGTACGGGATAGGGGGTACGGATAGGGAATGGGGTACGGGGTAGGGAGTACGGACAGGAAATGGGAATGGGAGAACAGACAGGGAATGGAGAATGTGGACAGGAGATGGGGTACGGCATAGGGGGACGGATAAGGATGGGGGTACGGGAAAGGGGATGGGGTACGGATAAGGAATAGGGTACGGGAGAGGGAATGGGGTATGGTACAGGGAATGGGGGTACAGACAGGGATAGGGTACAGGATAGAGAATGGGGGGACAGGAAAGGCAATGGGGTACAGACAGGGGATGGGTACGGGAATGGGGGTACGGGACAGGGATTGGGGTATGAACAGGATCGAGAGTATGAGACAGGGATCGTGGCTTCCTGGGGGTGCAGGAAAAGGGGATCGAGACACGGGGTGTGCAGGAGAGGGGAAATTGCTGATTCTGGGAAGGGGGATCGGGGCTGTGCTGGGCACAGGGAGCGGCTGGGGCTGCACCAGGGCCTGGCCTGGCTGGGGACAGGGGCTGGGTGTCCTTGTCACATCCCCCTCGGAGCTGTCCTGGTGTGGGGCTGCACCTTTAGCAGCCTCACCTGTGTTTGGGACAGTGTCCCCATGGTGTGACATGTCACCTCACTGTTGCCATTTGTCTCCCAGGTCCTTCTGCCCTCCTTTGCCCCTTGCTGGCTCTGCTTGAGACTGGGGGATGTGCAGTGTTTGGGTTGGGACTCAGGGGAGGGAACTCGCCCTGGTCAGGGTCCCCTGGGTGCTTGGTGGGGCTCTGTGAGGGCATCTTTCCTAAATGCTGGAATCTCTGCCACCTTGTGCAGGGAGCCAGATCCAGGGCACTCCCAGCATCCCGAGGAAGATCAGGAGGAGGAAGAGCCTGGCCATTGCCTATGAGCCGGGGCAGGGTGATGGGGCCGAGCCCCCGAGGGTGCCCTGGGAGCCACGGGACTGGCGGGAGCAGCTGGAGCGAATCCGGGAGATGAGGAGGAGCAGGGATGCTCCTGTGGATGAGATGGGAGTGCAGAAGTGCTACGACAGCAGTGCACCTCCACAGGTAACAGCATTCCCACAGGGAACAGCATCCTGCTGCCAGCTCCAGCAGGCACAGGAAAACACAGCCTCCCTCATCCTCCTGCTGCCCCTGGATCTGTCCCACTTGGGATGTTTCCAGGGCTGGATCAGGATCCTGGGCTGGGATTGGTCCCAGTGATAAATGTGAGGGGTAGTGCTGCTTTTGGAGCAGGCTGGCAGGGTGTGAAGCCATGTTCCTTTTTTTCCTTAAAAATCTCTGTAAGAGTCCAAGGGAAGTATCCAGCAGGGTGGCTGTGGAATGCAGAGGAACGTGGGGAGCACCCATGGGCAGGCTTGGAGGAGCAGTGGAGTGGGAATGTGGGAATCACAGAATCTCAGAATTGTTAGAGTTGGAAGTGACTTTGGAGACCAACAACTCCAACCCCGTGGACCTGGAGCAGCAGGAGCCTCTGGAGTGGGAATGTGGGGATCATCCAGAGGAGCAGCAGGACCTGCTGGGCTCTGAGGGAGGGGTCAGGAGGACACAGCTGGACAGTCTTGGCACATGGAATGCTGTCCTTGTTGCTGGCATCCTGCCCTGGGCTTGGATCCTTGGGGAGAAGGATGAGCTCTGACCCCAGACCCAGAGAACATCACACGCTCTCAGCCACGTGGGCTGGCAGCTGTGGGGCCAGGGGACCATGCAGCACACGGAAATAGCTTCTCTTCCCTGGGGAAAACGGGTTGTTGCTTCCAAGAAAAAGTGGATGTTGTAACCCTCAGCTCCTCACACCATTTTCTTCTACCATGAGAATTATCTAGCTTCTATGCACTCAGGGATTTTTCCTGGTGCACCTGTGGTTTTGTAAACTTTGTAGTTGAGCTGGAGGGAGGATTGTGTCCCATGTTATCCCAGGTCATTTTGGGTTAGTTGCATCATCCTCCTCACTCTGATGTGACGGAATCACATCTGGGGAGAAGGAATTGGGAAATAGGAGGTGATGGCCTGGCTAAACCCTGCCTGGCAGCAGCAGAGGAGTTCCTGGGATTTGTCCTTCTTCTCCCAGTCTCTGTCATCCCAGTTCTTCAGATTTGGTTCCCTGAGGAGCTCACTGGAGCCAGACATCCAGTTCCTACTGTAGCCTAGTGGGAAAGGGTTGGGATTTTCAAAGGTTGCTCAGAGCAGAAGTTGCATGAAATACCATTTTGGGATTTTCAAAAGCTGCTTAGAATAGAAGTTGCATGAAAAATCATTGGGCGTTTGTCCTTGTGCATCCTGTGGCTCTCCTGAGAATGCCATCCTCAGGAAAAGCTTTGTCCAGCCCTTTGTGGCTCAGCACTGGCATTTGGAGTGAGATCCCTGTCCTCTCACAGATACTGAGAGCTGAGCTTGAAGGTGTTCCTTTTCTCCCTTCACTGTGTGGTGGATTTAAAAGCTCACGGATTATTCCTGTTGCAGCCTTCCAGTCTCTTGGAGCCGCATAGGACTGAAGGGTGCGAGCACACCCTGCACTGAGCGAGGTGCTGGATCCTCCCAGATCCTGCCAGGGTGTCTCAGTGTCCCTTTTGTCCCCAGGTCATGCGTTACCAGGTGCTGCTGGCCCTGATGCTGTCCAGCCAGACCAAGGACCAGGTGACCAGTGCTGCCATGCTGCGGCTGCGCCAGCGCGGCCTCACCGTGGACAGCGTGCTGCAGATGGACGAGGAGACCCTGGGACAGATCATTTATCCCGTGGGCTTCTGGAGGGTGAGTGTGGGATGGCCACACAAACACACAGGAACCCCCTGTGTCCTTCTTGTGGGCAGTTCTTCCCGTGGAGTCAGGCTAAAAGCTGGATTTTACACCAATTTTGTATTGCCAGCAAGATGAGATTCTTGGCTGCAAGGCCTGGAGCGTTCAGGGAGGTTGGAGCTCCCAGCTCTCAGCATTTTGATTTCCAGTAGAAGGATTTGATTTCCAGGCTCTGTCTCCTGCACAGCTGCCATGTGTGGCCTCACCTGTAACACACACTCAGGAATGGTTGGTTTTCTGGGCTGTGTGTGTGTTTTCCCTGTGTTGGAGGGCAGCTTGGATTGTGTGCCTTTCCCCTTGGTTTTCCAGAACAAGGTGAAGTACATCAAGCAGACCACAGCCATCCTGAAGCAGAAGTATGGGGGTGACATCCCAAGCACTGTGGAGGAGCTGGTGCAGCTGCCAGGAGTTGGGCCCAAAATGGCTCATTTGGCCATGCACATTGCCTGGGACAGTGTGGCTGGCATAGGTAACTTGGACAATCCCTCTCCTAAATCCCAGTCCATTCCCCAGGCAGAGGGGAAGCACTGGTAACATCCCTTTGGTTCATACTTGGCAGAGTATTTGGGTGGAGGAATGATGTGACCCTCAGCCACTCACTCAGTGAGTTGTAGGATTTAAGCAGCTGCTGTTTCTCCCCAGATTTAATAGCAGAAATTCCCAAGGGAATTCACTGCCCTGGGGAACTGGTGCCAGATGGGGCTGGACCATCACCTGCAGGGCCCCTGGGGACAGATTAGTATTCCTAAAGAATGTGCTGCTTGATGGAAGAGCCTGGGAAAGCCAGGATGAGCGAGTGGGTGGGAGCTGGATCCTGCAGCCCCTCTGGTGACCATCAGCTGGACAGGCCATGGCCCCTGCCCTGCATCCAGCAGCCCTTGGGCTCTGTTGTTCTCCTGCTGTGGGGGAGGGAAGTCCAGAGGCAGCCAGACCAGCCAAGTGTTTTCCAGAGAATTGTGTGCTCGGTTTTGATTCGGGAGGCAAGGCTTAGTCTTCCTGTTTACAGCAATTTCCTGGGTTTTGCCCAATTAGCCCCAGAGACAGGTTTATCACTGCTGATCTAACAATAATACACTTTGCACTCAGAGCTTTTGAGCTCAAAGCAGATTATAAACACTGCTCTAAGCCTCCCAGGCCCTCTCTGCTGGTGGGTATTATGAAATGTGTTTTCCATGCGGGCAAAGGAAGGGGCAGAGATCACGATTTGCGTAATTTCAGCTGAAACTCCAGGAGGATGAGAATGTGCAGAGGGAGCTGGGGCCAGGCTGCCCTGTGCCTGCTCCAGCGAGCAAGGGAACCCTGGGGGAGAGGCTGTGTGATCCTGGGGAGAGACACCCACCCCAAATGCTTTTGGCTCCAGGCCTGGGAAGAAAATGTTTGTGTTTGGAGTGAGCTTCCACTCCCGTTCCACCCTGCTGCTCCTGCTGCCCTGGGCCTGCTGGCTGTCACAGGCAGCTTTGGCTCTGCTCTCTCCGTTCAGGTGTGCCTGTCCCACCTAAACTCTGGGCTCTCCCTCCCCAGCTGTGGACACCCACGTGCACAGGATCTCAAACAGGCTCAAGTGGGTGAAGAAGGAGACCAAGTACCCCGAGGAGACTCGGGTGGCACTGGAGGAGTGGCTGCCCAGGTGAGCCCTGAGCCACGTCTGCACAAAATCCCGCTTGGGGCAGTTTCAGGGACTGCATTTTGGCTCCTTCCTCTTCCCAGGGTTGCAGTAGCTGCAGGTGTTTCCCCTCTGCCAGAGCTACAGCAGCAGCATCTCACCTGTGTGGTGGTTCTGTTGCTGTCAGATGGATCAGTCACCACCAGTGGAACCCTTGATCCCCGATTTTTGCCTTGCCAAATTCACTGACCCAAGCCAGGTGCTTTTCCACACAGGGCCTTGCTGAGCCCAGAGGCCACAGCAGCATCAGCCCAGGGCTGGATCCTGGCCTTCACTGGTGCTGAATTTTCAGTCTCAAACAGCAGCTGACACGTACACGGACACATCTCCACACCTGGCACTGCTCCCCCCCAGCTCAGCAGGACCAGGAAAGCTTGGGAGGGCTGGGACTCAGCTCCAGGGGAAGCCAGGAGGAACAGGCAGAAGGGGAAGGTGATCCCTTTTAACAGCACAGGCTGTTCCTCACCCCTTCCAAGCAGCTGCAGGGCAACACTGCTGTTTCTCCTCTCACCAGGGACCTCTGGAAGGAGATAAACTGGCTCCTGGTGGGCTTCGGGCAGCAGACCTGCCTGCCTGTGAACCCTCGCTGCAGCCAGTGCCTCAACCAAGACATTTGCCCAGCTGCCAAGAGACTCTGAGGGATCATCCAGCCTTTGGAGAGCCACAAAGCTGCTTGGGCTGAGCCCTGCTAAAGCTGGGCCTGGCACAGGGCTGGCAGTGTGACTGCAGGGGACAAGAGCCTGCTGCAGCAGCTCCAGGGAACAGCCACTGGCAAGGACTCAGCTCTCCAGAGGAAGAAGGGGCTTTGAGAGGCAGCAATCCTGCTGGGCCAGAGCTGAAGGCTCCAGGCTGGGTGAATGGCTGAGCACAGCCCAGCTGTGCCACACTGAGTCACTGGAGAGAAAAGCTTTGTCCTCAGGGACGTGCTGCTGCTTGTAAATACTCGTTTAATAAAGGTTGTGAGGGGTTTTTTTTTTGGCACCCACGAGGTTTGCTGGCATTTGTGTGACATTGGCTGAGGGGAGGAGAACGTGGGTGACCTCAACAAGGCTGAACCATGGCAACGTGCCCAGCCCTGCCACACAGCCAGGTGTGCTGCCAACAGGACGAGAGCTGTGCCAGGGGACATCCAGGGTGGACAGCAGGAGGAATTTCTGCATGGAAAAGGTTGTTCAACACTGGAAGGGGCTGCTCAGGGAAGGCCTGGACTTGACACTAAGTGCTCTGGGCTGGGGACAAGGTGGGGATGGGGCACAGGTTGAACTCGATGATCCTGGAAATCTTTTCCAGCCTTGGTGATCCTGGGATTCTGAGGTGCAGCTGAAGCATTCCCAAGCCAGGAGCAGAGGGAATCAGTGCCTGGATCAGTGACCTCTGGGTCCTGGCAGCAGGACAGGGGGTGATGAACAGCAGGGCCACTCCGTGTGTGCCCCAAGGGCTCCAGCAACCAGGGGAGCCAGGCTGTGTCCCCAGGAGCTGACACAGGGACACCACCACCCCTGCGTTTTGTTCTTCAAAGAAAGGGCAGTGCCGACTTCATTGTGGAGCTTCAAAGGCGTCATTCCAGCTCCTCTTTAAAGAGGCCAGGGAGGAAGCAAAGTTTACAATGTGCTAAAGGGCTGCAATTCCGCTCTGGGCTCCCTCCCTGAGCAGCTGAGGAAGGAGCAGATAAGTGCTGGGTACATGGCAAACCAAGTTTATTACTGACATTACCGTGTGTACATGGTGGGTTTGCAATGCTGCTGACAGCCTTAAGACTTTATTGATTTTTCTTTTCCGAGTTAAATGTACAGGAACTGAATAATTACTACTGAGCTACAAGATGTCAGGAATGCAGTAATGCTTCAACCAGGAGCAGTTTCCACGGACTAAGAGATTAAGATTTTCAATTTTACCAACACGGATTTGCACACCTGATTTCTTTTGATCTACATTCAACACTACACAAAGTGGTTTGTTTTTTTTTTTTCTTCCTCCCCCTCCTCAACTGCAGCAGTGTTGGATGAGAAATGGGGTGTTTTACACCAGGTCTATGGGGTGTTTACACCAGGTCTGTGCTCTCTGACTGCATCGGAGTGTCCTGGGAATGCTCTGCCCTGCACAGCCCGGGCGCTGCTGGGGTTTGGCAACACGGGCACGGGAAGCAACGTGCACACCATGGAAAAGAAGGAATCCTTCCAAACGCTACCCAGAGAGAGAAGACAGTATTTTGGGGGACAAAAAGAGAGCAGGTAATTTGAAGTGGCATGGGGAAGAGGTGTCTTGTTAATGGCAGAGCCCCGAGGGCAGGCGGCCTCTCCACGTCCCCCATCACCCCAAACACCTGCACCAGTTCCTCTCCAAAGTCATTATTTTCAACCTGTTCAGCCCATCAACAATCCTAAAAGATAACTTTCCTAAAGAGAACTCATCTCCTTCACCCCTGAGGCTCTCCACACTCTCCTGCCAGCAGCAGAAGGCCACAGGCACCAGCTGCTCCCCAGGGAAGCCAAACACCCTGTGCTGAGCCCCAGCCCACTGCTGAGGAGAGCAGAGAATGGGATAAGGCACCTTTTAGCTCCAGAATTTGGGAATACCTTAGGAAATCCGTGCAGAGCTGTTCCCACGTCCCGTAGCACTCTGAGCACCCAAGGGTTTTATGCCAGGAGGGCTGGAGTGAGGCAGGGCACAGCCACAGCTCTGTGTTCACGCCTCATCCACGGCCGGCTGAGTGCTGCTGTTTGCCTTTTCAGCTGGGAAAAGTGGCTTGGTGTTCCCAGTTCCTTCCCACAGCGGGGCTGGGATTGCTGCTGGAGCCTGGGAAGGGGAGTGGGACAACCCCAACCCTGCCCTGGAAACTCAGCTCTGCTACCTGGGAGAGCTGAGCCACCTTCACTCACACAGCCAAAGGCAGCAATAAAGAGCTTAAATGGACTTAATCTGTAATGCTTTAAAGACACACTCTGAACTCTGAGAGTGGGGCTTTGGAGGAGGCCACAGGAAGCCAAAGGTGCTGCTCAATCCATCACAGCAGTGCCTGCTCCATCTCCAGCCCCGTTTGGAGGATGTCCTTCCAACGGGGACACTCCTGGGCTGGGGACACCAAACCCCAGCCCAGGTGGGACCTGGACCAGCCCCATTCCCCAGTGCTGAGTCTCAGTCAGGGCTGCATCCCTGTGCTCCCTCCTGGAAGCAGATGTTGGGTCATCTCCACTTCCAGGTCTGTCCAAAGAGTTTTTGTAGCATCTCGTGGTTCTCATCTTCGTGCTCCGTGGGGCAGGACTGGCCCTGCTCCCTCCTTCCCCTGCCACATCCACGGCTGCAGGTGGGGAGAGCTGTGCCCTTTATGTTTGGGATTTGTTTTTAAACCCCAGCCTCTCCCCTCTGCAGAGCTGTTTGGGGTGAAAAATGAGCTTTTACTGCCCGAGGCAGGAGCTGCTGATGGGGAGGGAGGTTCCTAAATAACTGGAAACACATGGAACTTCATTAAAAAAAAAAAAAAAAAAAGAAAAAACAAACCAACAAAACAAACGTTTTTGCTTCAATAGCAAAGCCAACGAACAATTTCCAGCCACAGTCCATTTTCCCATGGTGGGAGTAGCAAATGCTGGGCATGGGGAGCTGGGAAGGGGGTCCCTGGCACCCCCATCCTGCAGGCACCCACCACGAGCCATGAGATGTTTCCACAGGGGCACAGGGCATCCCATGGGGCTCAGTCTGGGACACCCACAAAGCCAAAACACTCCACATAAAAAGTACAAAAAAAAAAAAAAAAAAAAAAAAAGTAACAGAAGCCTAAATGATGCAAGTAAGAAACAAGAGTTAAAATTCTTCCAGTCCTTTCTCATAGGAACAGGGGACGGTGGGCAGCCAGAGCCAGGCTCAAGAGCAAGCAAGAAAAGGAGCTTTGGTCACATTTGTCTTATGAGAATCGCTGGTGAGTAACAATAATAATAATAATAATAACAATAATAACAATAATAATAAAAAATAAAAATAAAAAGGACTTTAAAATACGCCTCGTAAAAGCAACCAGTGAAGAGCAGAGCACAAAGCATCTCACGTGGACACCGAGGACAGGGCGTAGGCACCTCAGAAATGTCCGAGCTGGCTCCAGCAGGGCTCAGAAATTGCTGAAAATCTCCCGTTTCTTGTTCCAGTCCATCTGCGGCGCTCGTTTCTTCACACGCTTGGCCCTCACCTTCTCCTTGGCCTCGGCAGCCGTGGGGCTCAGGCTCAGCCCACTCTCCTCAAACGGGTCCTTCTTGTCCGTGTCTCCATCCTGCAAGGGGAGGGACAAAGCTGTCAGCACTCCCACACCCCTGCTGCCCATCCCCACAGCCTCTCCTGGCAGCCCTGAGCTTGGAAAAGCCTCCGGGATCATCCGGTCCAAGCTCGATGCCCGCCTTGTCACCAGCTCAGAGCACCGAGGGCCACATCCAGGTGTTCCTCTGGGGCACCTCCAATGCCCAACAAGCCCTCCCATGAAGGATTTCCTCCAGCCTGCTGGCTTAGGTTGCAATACAGGGGATGTGACCAAAAGTTTGGATTCTATCACCATCTGTTGAAATCAGCTGGGACAGTGATCCTGATCTCTGTGGGAAATATTCTGTGCTAATGGAACATCTGATAAAAGCAGGGGGGCAGTGTTCTTTATCTCCATGGGAGATGTCTGCTGTTAATGGGACAGCTGTTAAACCAGCTGGGGCAGGGATTTTTTGGGGCAGGGATTGGATCAGGACATGGATCAGGACATGGATCAGGACATGGATTATTCCATGCCCAGGGGACATTGGCAGGTTGCAGGTGTTCAGCCAGAGCTGCTGCCCGAGAGGCTTTGGGGCTGGGGTTGCTCAGAGGGGCCACTTGGTGCTGTCACATTCCTGCTCCCAAATGCCCTGGGGCAGGGGACAGCACAGCAGAGACCCCACGGGACACCTGCACAGAGATTTTGCTCTGTTTATAGCAGAATCTTGTGCTGAAGATAAATTTTTGAGCACTTTGTAAATCCCCTACTTCTTAATACAAATCCCCACCTCTTATTTTAAGAGGAAAAGACCTGAATGCCAGTGTTGACTTTTGGTTGTCACTTCACCTTGCCCAACAAGTTTTTGTCCCTTTCCAGTGTTGAGCCATGCCACAGAAACCCCTTCAGCCCAGCCTGTCACCAAAAACAACTCCTCCCCTCCTTAAACACTGTGATAAATTCACTGTGCTCCAAACTAAAAAAAAAAAAAAAAAAAAAAAAAAAAAAAAAAAATTTTTTTTTTTTTTTTATTTTAGCCTGCCCTGGTCCTGCTAGCAGCACTTGAGCCTCACAGTTCTGCTCCTCACAGATCCCCAGCCTTGCTGAAGCTCAGCAGTGTAATTACACCTCAGATCTCAAATCCTGCAGACATCCTTTCACCTCCCAAATTATCCAAGTAGGAATCACTACCCAAGAAGGTGCCAGTGAACACCCACAGTGCAAGGGATGAGAGAAAAGCCTGGATATTGGTTGCTGGGTGAGTGAAGTGAACCCAAGTCTGGGAGATAAACTGAAAACTCATGAATATACAGCACTGTGAGGCAGGACTGTGCCCAGCCCAAGCTGTAAAAGGGACAGGCAGTGTTTGGGCTTTTTACCTCTGATTCCTTCCCAGGACTCTGCAGGTCACTGTGAGATGAAGATGTGGATCCTCCATTCAGCTGGAGGAAAGGAAAATGTCAGTGTGGTTTGTGGCAGACAGAGTCAAACACAAGAAATCCCCAGGCAGAGCAATTCCAGGGGTGGAACTGAGCCTGGAGGGGATGGTCCTGCTCAGGGGACCCTGCACAGCTCCCTGGGACAGAACTGGGGCATTGCCACCTCCTCCTCTCTCCCTGCCATTAAACAGGGCTGAAATTGGCCTTGTTCAACCTCTAAATTAAAGCTCTAGTGGGGAGTAATTAAAACAGGCAGCAGCAGTAAAGCTGAGCTAAATGAGCCTTGGGGATTTGAGCTCACCTGGCACAGGTGGGAGCCAGGGAAAGACCCTGATCCCTCCTGGTCACTCCAACACATCCCCCCAGGGATGCTGCTCTGGGCTATTGATGCCTTGGGGTTTAGCTTTTACATTTTTCAGAATCCCTGCTGCTCGGTGTGTAACTCTGACATTTCATGTGAGGTGTTAGTGAGGTCTCTTCACAGAGTATTTAGACAAAACAATTCCTTTCCAGCTGGAGAATCAAGGACAACTGGTACCCAAAAATTAGAAACAATGGCTAAGGGAAGGGGGAAAATCAGGGGGCTGAGACTTCCTAGACTGGGGCTGTGGTTGGATAATTGACCCCAAGATGTAGATGAACTTATCTTATAAAAAACTTATAAAACTTTTAAAAGTGTAATAACTCATGACCAGGATCCATCTTGGATTTAATTTGGGTGCAGCCTTGGCCAGGCTCTTGCACTGCCCAAGGTGTTTCCTTTTAATAAATTCCTAATTTATTCCTTTCAATAAATTCCTATTTTATTCCTTTTGCTCTGTCTAGTCCCTGCTCCAGCTCAGACTTTCCAGACATCACTATCCCCAGGGGGGCAGGTGAGGACTCACCTGAGTCTGTGCAGATCCGTTTGTCATGGGCTGGGGTACCACACCTGGACAGAATAAACCCAGAAAACACCCAGTGAGAACCCTCAGCTGGGATTGCAGCCCCAGGTCCCTGCAGAGCATCCTCAGCACCATCACCTGCCACCCACCCCACCCCACCCCAGCACTACCTGCAGAACACTCCCCCTCCCCAGGTTTTTTTGGTTTTTTTTAACCATTAGTTTGTTTTCAGAAGTTCTTTAATCAAAAATCTTCAAAGTCAACTCAAAAATCTTCATCAAAATCAGCATCATGGTGTTGTTACAACAGTGTCTGGCACAGAACCCTCTCTCCAGGCACTCTGGAATTTTATTTTTTTTTTTGCTCACTTCCAATTATTTACTCTAACAATAGCCCACACAATGGCAAATTTTATGCATTTAAGCTGCCAGTCACCACGATCAAGTCATTGCCCCAGGCATTACCATGTCTCACTGTCCCAGACTAACAGATGTGTTAATTGGGACAGGATTAATAACTGAATTATGTCAAGCATGGATGCTTTCCCTAGGGACTGACTGGGGGCTGCATCACTACAGACTGCAGGGATTTCTGGGGCAAAGCAGAAAAATAAACCTAAATCGTGATTTTGAGAGTGTGCTGGTGCAAAAACCTCCTTAAATATTTTATTGCAGTGAATTTTGGAATCGTGTTGAGAATAGGATAAGCTCTGAGCAACGGGCATCAGAAGAGTCAGCTCACACAGAAGTGATGTTTATGTCTCTGATATCATAAGCAGCTAAATTTCAAATTAATTAAATGAAAAACAAGCTTCAGATGGCAAGGAATAGAAAAATGGGACCGGACTTCAAAAACAAATTAGCCATATCTAGAAACACTTAATCTAAAAAAAGCCACTCATTGGCTTAAAGGTTGAGGTGCTCAGGATGAGCTGCAAGGCTTGGAAAGTGTCAGCTTGAGGACAAAGTAATAATAATAATAATAATAATAATAATAATAATAATAATATTTCCTCTTAGCCTGCAAAGAGCAGAATTTACCAGAGCCCTTTGGCACCAAGGCAGGTGCCAGGCAGACCCAACTCCTGCTCCCTGGAGCACCCAGCCACCCTCCCCAGGGCTCTGTCCCCTCCCAGAACAAGGGCTCCTTTATGGCAGTGCCAGCACAAAGCTGGCTCCTCCTCGGAGCATCTGACACCCTGTGGCTCCCCAGCATTGTCTGACCCCATTTCTGGGGACAAATCTGCCCATTGAGCATCCTGGGAATCAGATAAGGAACAGCTGTGCTGGGAAACAGAGCTGCCCATTGAGCTGGGGACAGGCCAGCCTGGGAGCCTGCAGTGGGGCAGGTTGGGGAGTGGATGAGCAGCTTTTCCTGCCAGGTTTCAGCAGAAAAAACACACCAAAAAAAACCCCAAAGATTTCCTGCACTGGCCACGCTGTGATCAGCCAGCGTGGAGCCCTTCCCTCTGCACAGGGACTCTGCAGGTGCCCACAGGCTCCTCCACGGGAGCAAAGAGCAATCAGGGAAGCAGAAAATCGTGGAGCGATTCTTAGAGCTCAGCCAGTCCCACCTGCTATTAGAACAGGCTGCTCCAAGCCCTGCTCAGCCTGGCTTTGAAGGCTCCCCCCAAAAAATCCCACCACACCTCGGTGCCAGCGAGTTCCAGAGTTAATTATTCACCGTGCAAAAGCAACCCAGTGGTTTTTTTTGGCTGGCCCGAGGGTGCGTTCTCACTGTTTATAAATAGCTGGGTGGTGCTCAGGAAACTACTGAGGGATGAGACAGGAGGGAAATGTGACTCTGCTGAGATCCCACCCTGGCACTGTGAGTCATGGGGTCACCCACCCTGCCAGGGCAAGGTCTCACCTTTGCTGTGCTCCTCCGTGGGGGTCACCCCCAGCTTCTTGAAGTACTCATCCGTCTCGGGGTCCACCACCAGCAGCCTGGCCTCGCTCTCCCTGGATTTGATGTGGGACACGACCTCCGAGTGCCGCAGCCCCTCCACGTTGATCCCGTTCACCTGCAGAGCCACGGCATCACAACCCAAACCTGAGAGGCTGCTCCTGGCTCCCAGACCCTCCTCTCTCCCTAAAAGTGGGGATTTTCCTTTTTTTTTTTTATTCCTGTTGGGATGATAGGAAGGCTGCAGGATTTTTCCTTCCCCCTCTCCAGCCAGCCATAGGCTCCTAAGTCCTCTCAGCGCCCCTGCCAGAGCATCCTCTCACCTTTCTGCATCCCAAACACATCCATGGGGAATCACAGACCCCAGGCTCTCACCAAAACTCTCTGCCTGCCCTCTGTGGTGCTGTCAAGCCCAGCCTTCCCCTTGGATGTGCCCAGGAATCTCACAGTGGGCACAGACAGTGGGCTGGGTGGATCCCTGTGGCATCACCGTGCCATCCTTCATCCCTCCGCGATGGAAAACCGTGGATTTTGGTGCCCTGATGGGCGAGTCCCTGTGCCTGGTGCATGGATTCATCTCTCCCTGCCCTGCCTGTGAGCCAGGACCTACAGGGAACGTGATCCTGCTCCCCATTGTTCCCTGCAGAGAGGGGACAATGGTGACTCAGGACATTGTTGGGTGGGAATGAATCACCCTTTGTCCCACCGGGAATGACCCCACAGCCTCAGCACGACCCAGTGCTCGTCCTCACCCAAAGGGACACGGACACTGCAGAGCCTGAGCTCCAAACTCTGGGATCCCTCTGTGGGGAACCAGGCTCCCCCTGCTCCTCAGGGCACAGCTGGCATGAAAAGAATCCCCTTGCAGGTTCTGCACCTCATTCCAGGAGCTGCCAGCTCCCAGCCCTGCTCCATCCCTGTCCTGCCACCCCAGCTCACCCCAATCCATGCCCAGGGCTCACCCCTGGCTGCTCTCCCCCCCCAACCCTGCCACAGAGCTGGGGGGCATCAAATATTTATCCCAGCCCCAAAGAGCAGGCAAGGAGGGGATCAGGTTTCTGAGCTCTCCAGCTCACCCTGAGCTGCTTTGTGTGTGCCAGGCCCTGGGCCAAGCCCATAAATAAATAACACGACCCCTGGATGTGACACCAGCCAGGCACTGCCACCCGTGCCCCGGCCCCACGCTGCTCCCAGCATTAAACTTTCAGCTGCTGGGAAGAGGCAGCAGCTCCCACTGCCTGGGGAATCTTTATTTATGGGCCTGGAAAGCCAGGAGAGTGCTCTGGTCTCAGGGTTTTCTCAGCTCACACTTTTCCAGGGCTGCAAATCCCATTGCTGCTCTGAGCTGGGAGTGAGGGGCACAGCTCGGTCCCCCTGGGGTGGTTTTGGGGTTCAACCTCCAAGGGAACAGCCCAGGCAGGAGATTTCCATGTGTTCCCACAGGGAAAGGGGTGATGGCTGCTGGGTCAGACCCTGCCTGTCCCTTCTCCAGGAAAAACACAACACACAGAGCAATTCCCAGCCCTATCCAAATTTTTTGCCCCCATCTCGGACCAAAAGTGCTGTCCACCATCTGGTAACGAGCAAGATGCTTCCAAAAACATTTTTTCCCCAAATCTTTCGTAATTTTGTGTCTTAAAATCTCTGCAAAGCCTCTTCCCCTGTTTTTCCAAGCATTCCCTGGCAGGGCATCAGTTCAGCACCAGCCTGGCTTTATGCCCACAGTCACCTGCCCAACCCTCCTGGTGCCAGCCAGAGCCAGCACAGCACCTTGGGGACAGGGGTCAGTGCTGGCCTTGACTCAGCAGTCTCAGAGGGCCTTTTCCAGCCTGAACAATTCCCAATTTCTACTCTGTAATTCTTTCCAGAGCTCCCAAACGGCAGGAGAGGAAGGAGCACAAAGCCAGAGCAGCTTTAGGACTCTGAATTAGGGGAACACAGCGGGGGAATCAGATGGGAAAGGCCATGGCCTGGGGGCTGTCCCTGCTCCCCCAGGGTGCCACCCCTGTGGGGACACACACATTCACAGAGCTGGGGAATCACAGCTTGGAAATTCTTTCCAGGCCTGGATTTCTCCTGACTCTCAGCTCCATTCCCAGGCTGACAAGCTGACTGCAGCTTCAGTTAGGGAGGAGTCTCCCAGGGTGATAATATAGTAAAAAACAGAGTGGAATTCATAATAAACATTAACCCCTGGTGTCTTTCCCGTGGGACACATCCTGAGGTGCTGTCCCAAGGATGTTTTTCCCAATTATCCAATGAACTCCTGTCCTGTCCTGGCTGCACTGACACACTTTAAATCCGGGCTGTCCCTACAATAAACTTGGCCTTTTTTTCCCCAAAAACTCCGTGTGTGTGGCTGCCTTTTCTCTCTCTTTTCAGCACAGTAACCACACCCGTGCTGCTGTGTCCCCCTTTACCTCCACCAGGCGGTCCTGGGGCCGCAGCCCTGCCCGGGATGCCGGCGAGTCGGGATCCACGGAACGGATGAACTGCCCCGGCCGGGATTTCTCACTGTGCAGGTTGAAGCCGTAGCCATTGGGACCTTTCTTCAGGTGGCAGAGACGTGGGCACAGCTCCTTCTGCCCGTTTAAATCCTGATTCATGGTGGGGGAGAGACAAGGCGGGGGTTAATTCAAGGCTCTCAGGGAGATGGGACCATAAATAAAAGCCCCGAGGAAGCGCCGTATCTGCCCCCCTGTCCTCGGCGTGGGGACAGGTTAACAAATGGATTTCCTCTCATTGAGTCTATTTTCGAAACCCAATTGTCCAAAACCACTCCAAAAAAATGAAAACAAAACAAAAAAAATGTATTTCCTCCACCAGGAGTGGCTCAGATGAATCCACCCATAGGCTGGGACCCCCCCCCTCCCCGGCAGCAGCCGAGCCCCAGCCCCGGGCAGGGAGGAACCAAAGCCCAGTTTTGCTCTGCCCAGGCTCACCCAGACCTGGGATTAACCTCAGTCAGGTATTTCAGGCAGTGCCACACCCTCGGTCTCAGTGACACCAGCACTGGTGCCATCCCCTCCCAGCAAGGAGGGAGCAGGATGATGAACCCCAACATCCAAGAGTTCCCTGCAGCTCGGGAAGGCTGAGCTCGGCAGGATGAACAGCACAGGGACACGTGAGGAGTTCAGAGCTTCCCCTCCTGCCATGGAAAATGTTTTTATGGCTCCTCAGGGCAGCCAGGGAGCAACAAATCCTGGTTTTCTCCAGGTCTTCAGGACCCATTAATTCCCTTGGATGCTGCTCCCACCAGGCAGCTCCAGCTGCACATCCCTGCAAAAAGCACCTTGGAGATTGAGGGTGTTCATTTTCACCCATGGTTTAAGGAAAACATCTCCCCTGGATGAGTTTTCACCTTCCCTCAGCAGGCTCCGTGCCTGCCCACAGACAGGATTTGTCTGAGATCACATTCACAGTGAAATCTCTTACAGCTTTTCTGTCCAAATTAAAAATCCAGGCAGCAATTTCCTCCTTCCTGTCTTGGCCAAAAAGCATCGTGAAACACCAAACTTCCCAACTCCTTTATCCCCTGAAAGAGGGATTTTTATAGAGGAGAACAAAGTGATCACAACCAGGGATCCCCGTGCTGAGGGATGGAATTTGGATAGAATTCCAGATGGGGTGGAAGGGACCTTAAAGATCACCTTGTTCCAGTCCCCTGCCATGGGCAGGGACATCTCCCACTGTCCCATTCCAGTGTCCAGCCTGGCCTGGGACACTCCCAGGGATCCAGGGACAGCCACAGCTGCTCTGGGCAATTTTGGCTGTGGCTGCAGGGGGGACAGATGTGGGGCAGGGCTCAGCACCAGCCTGACCAGCTCAATCCCAGCATCCAGGAAGAAACAGAGATGTAAAATGACCACACAGGTGGGAAAGAACCACTGAAGGTCCTCTAAATTCAATCTCCCTGTTCAAGCAGAATTCCCCAGAGCCCATCACCCACGATTGTGTCTTTTCTCTGGCACAGGAGGAAAACTCCAACCAAATTCCTCAGAAGCTGCTCACACACAAAGGTCACCACCAGCAGTGCCCATCACAGGCACCAGGGCACACTCAAAGCTGCAAACTGCTCCTGAATTTTAGAGATTCCCTTAGCAAATGAGTTTTTAATTAAAAACCAGCTCGTGCTGTTGACATCTCAAGTGCAGCTCAGTTCTTAAAGGGGAAAAGTTATCAGAGAACAAAACCTAAACCAGGATGGGGCTCCCAAACCCCTCCTGTACCTGCACCCTCAGCCTCTCCCTGCTGCACTTTTCCCATGGCCCCAGAGCAGGCAGTTCACCCTATCTGCAAATATTTCCAGCCTGCCTCGGAGTTCTTCAAAAACTGGAGAAAACAGGAAATGATTCAACTGGCCCAAGAGGGTCGGGCTGGTGTGACCTTAGAGGACACACAGGGCTCTGTGTGGCAGGACAAGGAGAGTGTCTGGGGTCACCAAAGTGCATCTGGGATCACCAAAATCCATCTGGGATCACCTCTTGGGGTTGACTTTTAAAACCATTTTCCCCCTGCTCCATTTGCACAGGGTCACTGCTGCTGCAGCAGTGTGAAAACACAGAGAAATCCCAGAGAATCACCCCAAAAATCTGTGCTGGGGATCCCCTGGGGACAGCGTGGCAGGGTCAGTCCCTCCTCCTCCTCCTCCTCCAGGGCATCCCCTGGGCTCAGCAGTGAAATCAAATTACCCACTAAATAAACCAGGCAGGGAAAAGCTTTGCTGCAGGATCCCTTTGGCTGTGAGGGTGCTGCCCTGTGCCATGTCCTACGTGGGCTTGTGCTGCTTTCACTGCAGAATCTCAAACTCAAAAGCCCTTAACTGGAATGAATTCAAGACATTTATTCTTAAATACATACATATAAAAAAAAAGAAAAAAAAAATCCCAATTCAGCATCTGCTGTGGGCAGAAATCCTCGGGGAAAACTGCTTATCCTCCAGCAAAGATGATCCAGGGCTTTTGCTGGGCTCTTAAACCTCCCAGCTAACGCAATCCTTGGCTGCTGGAAAAGCCAGGTTTTGGAGCTGAGCTCTGCAAAGCCCCTCTCTGGGATTAAGCAGAGCTCACACCCCCCCCACCCCCCAGGACACGGAGCTGCTGCCTCTCCTGCCAGCTCTGCTCTTGATTTTCTTTTTGACCCGTGCCAGCGTTTCCCTGGCTGTGTTCTGGGAAGATATTTCCTAAAGCTCCCGGGGGAATTTGGCCTTTGTGAAACCCAAGTTGCCTGGAACAGCAGCAGGGTTTATCTGGGCTTCCCAGGGACTCTCCTGCAGAACCCTCTGCTCTGCCTCTCACACGCCAAGCACTTAAAAGCCAGCTTGGATTAAGTTACATTCACATGGATGCTGCAAAGCAACAAAATTCAACTCCGTTTTTGTCATCTTAGAAAGCCAAAAATTGCCCACACACGCTAAAAAAAAATTGCAAAATGAAGCTTTTTGGGTTTTTTTTTCCTCCTCCTCCCCAGGAATCCAGGCTCTTCCAGTGGCTGCTGCTTTTAGGAGCTGGATTGAGCAGGGTGACACTCCATCCCTGTGTGTAGCATCCCCAGGAATGTCTGTACAGATAAATGCTGCCTGGATAATGAACTGCACTCACAGCCCATCCCTGGAGCTGCAGCTTGGGGCAAACCAGCAGCATTTTACCAGGACAAAGGTTTAGGAAGCGCTGCTCAAGCTGGTCCGTTTAAAAATGCACAAACAAGACATTAAATAACAATGAAATGCTTTCAGTAAAATTTAAAAAAAAAATACCAAACTGATTGGGTGTTGCCAGCTCTCACAATCTCATGGCAACTCTTCACAGAATCTGATTTCTTATTTCCCTTTGAGTTTCCAGCGCTGCTGATGGGAACTGAGGTCCCTCAGGGACATCCCTTGGCTCGTGGGGGTCACCTGGGGACACTCTGGGGGTCACTGGGCTCTTCCAGAGATGCCCCTTGGCCCCTGGGGTGTCCCAGCACTGGTCCCTGCAGGGAGCAGGACCTTTCCCATGTCCCACACCTGGGGCTGGTGTCACCAATGTCACCAGCTCTGATTAATGAGGGGTTTTCACGCCATTAATTAGCACGTGGCAGGCTGCAGGGAAGCAGAATCCACTCCCAGAAGCACCAAAAGGAACCAAACTCCCCTCCTGGGTTTTGAGGGGCAGCAGAGCAGCCCCCAAGCTCTGTTATCCACCTGCCCCTCCCCAGCTCAACACCACGAGGGTGTCAGAGACCCCCCTGCTGTCACTGCTGAGCCACAGCCAGGGCAGGGCTGTCCCCTGCTCCCCACAGTGTCACCACTGTCCCAAAGGACACCGACTCACAAAACCAACCTGCACCTTCACGCCACCCCCCAGCCTGAGCCCGAGCAGGAACGGGGATAAAAAGGACATTTCAAACCCAAAAAGCTGCAGGAATATCCAAGCTCCCTCCATACCCAGGATCGTCTCCAGCCCCTCTGCCCCACAAACTCACGCCCACAATGAGCTAAAACACTTGGAAAGCCACAGTTTAGGGTTTTATTCCAGGAATAAAACACCAGAGGCAGCGTGGACACGGGGTCCTCCGGGAGAGGAGGAGGAGGGAGAGGAGAACAGGCACACACAGAGCTACTCTAGAGACCATGGCCAGGTTGGTACCATCTGCCCTGGGATGCTGCTGGGTCCTGCAGTGCCTTGGCCACGATGTCACCGAGCCCTCAGCACTGGGGTCACCCCAAACCTGCTCCCAGGCTGGGGGGACACTCTCAGCCAGGTGGGAAGGGCAGGAGCTCCAGCCCTGCCCGTGCCCAGAGTGGGGATCTGCTGGGACTCCACCAAGCTCATCTCCTGGGTGTGCTGCTCCTAATCACTGAGATCAGGGTCATTATGACCCTAATCAGCTCAGCCCTGCCTGGGACCACCTCACCCTGCTCCCAACACCAGCCTGACCCCCCGTGCCCATCCCAGGGCTTTGCCAAACGGGCTCCAGTCACCCCTGCTGGGAATGCAGCACCTGGATGCACTCCAGGCTCTGGATCACCCAGGACAGGTCAAACCTTTCCATCCCTGCTTGGCAGAGCTGGAGAAAACCCAGGCAGGAGCATTCCTGCCTAATTTACATTTTTAACATCCTTTAAGCCAGCTGCCACGGTATTTCCTCTCCTTTCCCCCGTGGTTTTGGTCAGAAAATTGTTCCTTTGCTCCCTCCAAAGCAAACCTCAGCAGCAGAATCCACCAGGGCTGGGGGACACCGGGCTCCTGTCCTGCCCTGGGGACACCTTGGGACATGGAGATGTCCCGAGGGGACAGAGAACACTGCTCAGAGCCTTGGTGTCCATTCCCACTGGGACGTCTCCATCCCCTGCACTTTGGATTCTCCAGTGCAGGCACCAAGGGATGCAGGGGAGGGGATGCAGGGGAGGGGATGCAGGGCCACCTCCAGGGCTCGTGCAGCAGAAATGCAGGATCCTGCCCCAAATCCAAACCCCAGCAGGCACAGGAGTGAGGGGCAACACTGGGAGCTTGGGAAGAGCCAAGGAGGGGGAGAAAGCAAGGCAGGAAAAGGGCCCAGGGGCCACTGCACCACCAGAACAAGGGACCCATTTACACCCCCTGACACAGGGCACCCT